TTCTATGATAATCAGCCTATCAGGTCACGCTCAAACGCAAAAAGTTACTTTTGAGACAGGTATATGGCTACTCCTAAACTCCAAATGCAATTCTCACGCATCGAGGAAAAAAAATAATACACATACACAAAAAAGATATATACACTAACTTTTTTTTATTTTTCACATTTAAGAATCCAAATACAAAAAATCTCAAAATCATAGAATTCCACTCAAACACCATAGGATTATAGAGGATTCTCACACACAGTCTCAGAATCTAAGGAACATCAGAAATTATTTTGATCTAGAATCCACGTTATAGAAACCCATCCAAACATACCCTATATACTCTCTACGTCCTAAAAAATATATATCTCGTTTTCTGAAGAATAAAAAAATCTCAAGTTTAACTAAGTTTATAGAAAAATATAAATATTTATTTTTTCAAGTATATTTATTATAAAAATATATTTCATACTTAGTCTAATGATACTTATTATGTATCATATATGTTAGTATATTTTTATATATATTTGGTCAAACTTAATATTGCTTGACTCTTTGAAAGCGAAAGTCACGTTCTTTTTGGAAAGGATATCTGTATAGCACCTTTTAAGATACCATGCTTACTCATAAGCTATGATTATTTTTAGACAACATATGAATGCTAAAATTATGTTTTGTTTTTTTTTTGGGCGGATGGAGTATATCTGGTCCCCTTTGTAATGATTCGTCATGTCATCTTATCCTTACCAACATCGTTGATACGTATACTACGTGCTACTTTCGTCTAAAAAATAATTAACTTCTAGAGTTGTTCTAAGTCAAATTAATTTAAGTTTAGTTAAATTTATTTAAATCACGCACTAATATTAATGACGTCAAATTAATATCCCTAGATATATATTTCATAATGTACTTTGTCATAGACGATATTAGTCATTCTTATAAAGTTAATCAAACTTGAGTTAGTTTATTTGACTTTAGATGATTCTAGGAATTGATTTATTTTGTGTATTATAACCTGCAAGCAAACCAGGATTCCAGGTAGTTTACTGTAGTATAAGAAAGGTAATTATGGGAGACGCTAGTTTCTAAAATGAACGAATGACATTAAAAGCAAAGTCATAAAAAAACAAAACTCTGAACTCTTACAAAACGAGTGTTCGATCGATCGGATATTGTTCCTGTCAGAGAGGGACAAAAAAGCACGAATCAACTTTTTTAAAAAAGCAAAAAAAAAAGGGCACGAATTTTAGAAACATGTATGCCACAGTGTACTACAGTGCTAGCTTGTCTCTCTGCAGGTGCGGAGGGGCAACGTTGATTGATGGGACAATTGTTCGTTGGGTATAAAGTGCGCTGGCAGATATTTATTTTGGAGCATTTTACCAGAAAGACATTGTGGTTCAGTGAAATTAGGCTACAGGACATCGCGGAGCGGTTGTAGCCGATTGAGGAGAGAGAACAGCGGTGAAATGACATTCTTGCCCACCATGAGGCTGACGTGTGGGCCTGGTCAGCTGGCGGGGTGCCCAACACTGCGCCCGTGCACCCATGCACCGATCGGTGGACTAGTGCTCTCTGTCTCTGGGTCTACGTGGACTGAAGCCACAGAAGAAAGGGAAGAGAGTGGAGTCCATGACAAGTGAACCTATGGCGAGGTGGCTTGCTCCTATTGGTTGCCTCGACGTGGCCATGTGCCTAGGCGAATGGCCTTGGATGTGGCAGCCTCGGTCTTCCTGTCGGTCCTCCCCATTCACCCGGTCACGAGAGAGACAGAGGGGCACTGGGCGGCGACGGGATTTGGTCCTGGCGGCGCGGCTTGGGGCGAGGCAAGGCAAGGCGAGAAGAGCAAGGGCGGAGCGGCTCGGTGGCAGAGAGCTTCGAGCTTCGAGCTTCGGCAACCATGGCCTCAGCTCGAGGTGCTCTGGCGGAGGCGCGGCGCGGCGCTCCAGTGCTTGGCCTCGGCAGCGACCATGACCGGCCTTTTATAGCCGGAGAAGGCCAGCGCTCCCACGCTCCTCGTGCCTGGGCGCGGCAGTGGCGACGCGGAGCCTATGCGGCGGACGCGGCGCGGGCATGTGCGTGCTCTGCTGCGGCCTGGGCCAAGCCAAGGAGGCACTTGGGCTGGGCCTAATGGTGGAGAGGGAGGCGTACACCTCACGCCCCGGAGCGCGTCCGTGCACCGCTGCGCGCGGTCCATGTCCCCGCTCCGCAGCGCATCGCCGCGGCTCAAGCTGATCAATGCGCTCGTCCCGGCGCCAGATCTCGGCCCCGGCCCTGCCGCCGCCGCGACCAAGGGGACGCACGGGGAGGCCGCGCCGCCGGTCACCGCCTCGTCCTCGTCCTCCTCCACGTCGTCGTCCTCCTCGTCGGCCGCATCGTCGTCGGACCGCGGGTCCCGGCGGTGGGTGTTCATCAGGGTCAGGGACATGCTCCTCCACCGTAGAGGCAAGAATGTCATTTCACCGCTATTTTCTCTCCTCAACTGGCTGCAACCGGGCCGCGGTGTCCTATGGCCTAATTTCACCAAACAAAAGTGTCTTCTAACAAAATGCTCTAAAATAGGTGTCCACCAACAAAGGACCATCACTTTGATGTCCAATAGATAATTGTCCCATCGATGATTGATGGTGCACGCAAACAGCAGTAGCATGCTGTATCCACCACCATCCGTCCATGTACCCTACCAACCCTACATTACTGTGTGCTGCCATTTTCGGGGTCCATTTTAATTTTGGCAATGGTGACCGCTCGAGGTGGATAGGACGATAAGAACAGGGATAGCCAGGATCGGTCCGAAACACTAGTATATCCGTAGGCAGGCATCATGATATTCTGATTCCTCGCTGCCTTTACTAAAAGTTGTCGATGCACGGGGCACCACCAATCTTTTCTTTTGCCGACAAGCAATAATTTGCATCAACACTTGGACACATGCACCGGACGTAAACCATATACTCTACAATGTTTTGTGTAGTTTTCACCGAAATTCATTTGTTGCTATGGCAATCTTACTTAATTTTTTTCGCTCTGTCTAAAGATTGGTAGGAGCACACCATATCATACGAGAGGGAGAAGCAATCCAGTTTTACATCACTTGATTACATCATCGGAATTAATTTATGGGGTGCTATGACAATCACATGCTTACAAGGACACCCTCGGTATGGAGTTTGTTTTTGAAAGGTATGGAGGAGTACTGTCTAATAATCACTTAAATGTCTTGTTTAGGACAGATTCTAGATGGTGAAAAAAAGTTATCTGAACCCTCCAAGCGGCGCGCTTTGCGCCCACCTTTCTCCCCCCACATTCTCTCAACGGCACCATTTACACTAACGCGAAATTGGTTGGGAGAGAGCCGTAGGAAAAATCACTTCAGCTTCTTGGTTTCCCTCCACCCACACCTCTTCCTCCATCCTCGTCGGCCGTGTTCACCTCGTGCTCCCCTCCGGTGGCCATTCCCACAGAGCTACTCCTCTGGCGCCCTCCTCCTTCATCCTCGTTGTGTCCGAGGTCCGGCGAGGCGCACCTATGGCCGAGATCACGCGAGGAGTACCTTCTCCGTGCCGCCGGATTCTCCTCAGTGTGCTCATCCCCTAGTGCCCGTGGCCATCCTCCTCAAGCGCCACCATCCAACCCCTTGTGCACCTCCTTGAGCCCGAAAGCCGAGCTCCTCCTTCATGCCACCGCTCTCATCTTCACCGTCCAACTCCTCCTCCCCGCACGCCTTCTCGAGCTCCAGTGGCTATACCCTCCCGCGCCCCCCTGAGGTCCCAGGCATCCTAAGGGAGTGCCTCCAAGCTCACTGGCGCGGGCTTCTTATCCGTGCTTTGTGCTTACTGAGGCAACCCTCTCTCCCTTATTTGTGCGGGTCAACTTGGTAGTTAGAGCATCTCCATCAGATATCGTATCCAATCTCCTATACCTAAAAGGTAGTATTTTAGAAGATGGAGGTACCACAGTAGATCTCTTGTCTTATCTCCTTTACTGTAACCTTTTAGGGATATCATAAAAGAAGCATCTTTTCTCCTAGATAAATGAGACAACCCTCTCTCCCTTATTGAAGACAAGTGTTAGTTAATCTTACAACAACATTGCTCTCTTATATCCTAAACTCATTTTAAAGTAATCTCCTAAAACAATTTATAAAAGGTGTGGTACAAAAAATCGGGTAGAGATGCTCTAAGTATTTGATCAAAGGGGAATTCATTTCCGTTTTCAAGGCGCAGGATGAAATGGTTTGGTCACGGTGGGTTTCATTCTTTTTTGTTTTTTGAGTAAACATACCTATATACCTACTAGATGAAACCCATTCATTCCCTTGTGTCTCTTGGCAAGTTTTCTAACCGTGTCACGGCATCTCATTGAATTCAATGAAAATGAAATCGAAACGTGAGCGAACCGAGGATGGCCTTAGAAAATTGACATATATATTCCCACGAAATCTTAAACAGTGTGTGAGATAGAATAATAGGTTATCGCAAAGCCATTTTCTTTTGCATCGATGTGCAATTCACGAGTGGGTTATGCTTACTTCAAAACAACAACAACAACAAAAAATCAGAAATGGCTGGTAGTTTTAGGTAGAGGACTCCGGCACTCCGGCAGCAACGGGCATGCAAAGAAAGTTGCAAACGCAAGCAGTAGACGCCGCCGCACCGAAATCCCGGATCACGCCGCCCGCAGTCCGGATCACGCGCGATCTCTCTCAACGGCATTTGTCCGCGTCTCACGGCAGCATGCACCGATGGACGGCTACGGCCAGAGCCGTGCGGCACTCGACTGCGACCGCAGGGGCAGAACGGCGACCCGCAGGCCGAGGCGGCCCCACGTCACGAGGGCGAATCCAGGCCCCGCGCCGCGTGGACGGCCAGATGGCCCCCCTGGGCCTATAAATGGATGCCCTCAGCCTCAGAGGTCAGAGCAGGGCAGGAGGTCGCATCTATCTCGTTCCAGATTGCATTTGTTGCGAGCTTCAGTTCCTTCGTGTTTGCGAGGAGAGGAAGAGGAGGATGTCGTGCTGCGGAGGCAACTGCGGGTGCGGCTCCGGCTGCAAGTGCGGCAGCGGCTGCGGAGGGTAAGCCTAGCCTGCCCCTTCCCTTCCGTCCCGTTCCTCCCTCTCGGAGTCAGATCTGATCTGATGATGAACTTGCGTGCATATGGGTTCGCTGATCTGCCTTTCGTGGCTCTGTTTCCGTCGGACCTGTGCTAAGCTGCCGGCAGGCTGTTCCTCGTGCTTCCGTAGAAATGTTATATTTTCTACATGTACAAAAAGTAAAAGGATAGATAAGAGTGGCATATTGGCATGATTTATGAACCTGTGTCTATGCATCTTTGATTTCCGTAGAAATGTTATATTTTCTACATGTACAAAAAGTAAAAGGATAGATAAGAGTGGCATATTGGCATGATTTATGAACCTGTGTCTATGCATCTTTGATTTTGGAGGAAGGATGTGCTAAGCTGCTGCATGTAAAAAGTTCGTTCGTCCGGAAACGATGCGCATGCTGTTCTTGTTCTTGTTTTGAAGGTGCTTTGATTTGATTTTTCGGTTTGTTCAACTCGTCGTGCTCATCGATCTGTCTGTATGTATGCAGGTGCAAGAAGTACCCGGACATGGCTGAGCAGGTGACCACCACCACCACCACCACCCAGACTCTCATCATGGGTGTTGCACCATCCAAGGGGTATGCATGCTCATGCTCGTCGATCTCTCTCTCGCATTCCGTAGCTATTTCTTTTTCTTTTCTTTTCCCCGTTTCTGCGCAGAGATTATTCTTTTTTGGTTTATTGGCTCCATCGGCTCCTAGTAATAGCCAGCAACATACGGAGTATATATATGTGGTGATCTGTACTCTACTATTTTTGTCCTTTCTGGTAGGGAACATGACAAAGATCGATCTCTGCTCGCTCACTCGTCTGCTCCCCAACCACGTTGTATTGTATTGTATTTATGTATGTATTATACTCCTGTGAGAGCAGGCACTGACTTTTGTTTGCCTGGTACGTGATGGTGGTGGATGCAGGCACGCCGAGGGCGGGTTCGAGGCGGCGGCCGCCGGAGCTGAGAACGACGGCTGCAAGTGCGGCCCCAACTGCAGCTGCAACCCCTGCACCTGCAAGTGAGGAGGTGGCGATGACCCTGCAGGGTGCAGGCCGTGATGAGGAAGGAGATCGGAAGGACTCTCTAGCTAAGCTCTAGTACAGCAGTATCGTTTGTGTTTATAGTCAAGTCAGTCGCGTGCCATGGCGTGCTTCTGCGCATGCCGCTAGTGGTGGTGGCACCGATGGGAACCAATAATTGTACTGAGATGTTGGCGTCGTCGCGTCCTGTCCTTCCTCCCCTGCCCCTGGGGCTCATCTAGCTGTCAGTGTATGTGTGTTTGTGTTTGTGTTGTTGTGTGGGTACAGTGCAGTACAGCACAGCAACAGGCCATGCCCCTTGCTCTGTGTGCACGTCGTGTGCGACTTTGTTTGTGCTGTGTCACCATCCATCTATCATCTATATCCCATCTTTGTGAACTGTGTACACCTTCTTTTTTTGCGAATGTGTGTACCCTTGTTGTGACCGTCAATGTGGGAGCGAGATGCCTCTATCCGACTTCCGAGTATAGCGCTAACAACATTCTTTAGAAATCCCTAGAAATTTTGCACAAAAAAAAACAAAAGAAACTTGTGGAGACGGGAACGAGCGAGTCCACCCAACAAGCCCAATACGGCCCGCATTATCTGCAACATATCGCTTGATGGCCCATAGTCGCTGCATTTAACATTCTAACTTAATTGGGCCATGCTTGGGCTACATATTTTCCCACAGAAAAGGGGCCTTCGGGTTGACTAACCAGTCAGATCGTCCATAGTGAGACATGGCCTCGATATAGCCCAATAAATACTTCGTCCCACAAAATTTGGGCCCTGGCTCCTCCGAGTTCTGCAACTGCAATGGTCGCCGCTAGATAGGCAGCCTGCAGCCTCTTCTGCGCTGGCCATGCCAGGCTGCCAGTCAGCGCTTCTCCTGGTTACACAAGCCAAAAGAGCTACCTACAGGCTACACCTACGGAGCCTGCTTACCCTACTGTAATTTCTGCTTACTTCGTGACTTAACCCTAAGGTCATTTGCCAAAACTTTACACCTATCACGTCGCGATGTTTGACATATACATAGAGTATTAAATATATACTTAAAAAAATAGAGTGTATTAAATATATACTTAAAAAAATAGAGTATTAAATATATACTTAAAAAAATAGAGTATTAAAATAACCAATTGCACATATTGCGACTACTTTACGAGACGAATCTTTTAAGCCTAATTAGTGTATGATTTGACAATAAAGTGCTATCGTAACACATGTGCTAATGACAGATTAATTAGGCTTAATAAATTTGTCTCGTGGTTTACTAACGGATTCTGTAATTTATTTTTTTATTAGTATCCAAACACCTCATACGACACCCATATAACATTCGATGTAACACCCCAAAACTTTACACCTGAATCTAAATATCACCCTACGTAATTCGTAGAATTGTAGTGTTACTTGTACCGCCAGTACATTATTGGCCATCTTGATTTTTTTTTCCGTGAAGATTTGTTGACTACTAGTACTAAGACTGTCTCCAATAACGATACCCAAACCCAAAATGGGTCCGGCACAGTACTTTGCCTAGCCGAATCCATCGTTCAACAGCAGACCCAAAGACACGACGCATTTTGCCTGCTTGCCCAAACGCTACGCAAAAAAGCGTCTCCTCTCTCCTCGCTACGCAAATCGCCGAGCTCGCCCGGCCGGGCTAAGCTTCGCACACACACACGCCGCTGGCCGGGGAAGCCGAGCTCAAGACCCATGACGGGGCGGAGCTTCGCCATGCAGAGGCGGAGCTTCGCCTGGCCCGGTGTTGGAGGAGGCTCGCCATGCTGGTGAGCTCGCCCGCGCAGAGGCGGAGCTCGCCCGCAGCCGGTGTTGGAGGAGGCTCGCCCGCGCAGAGGCGGAGCTCGCCCGCGCCGAGGCGGAGCTCGCCTGCAGCCGGTGTTGGAGGAGGAGCGCGTGGCGAGGAGGGGAGCGGCCGTCGGGGAGCGGGGCCAGGCCGCCGGAGCAGGAGGCCGCGCGCGGGGGTGGACGGCCACGGGGCCGCCGGAGCGGGATCCGGCGCGCGGGGCCGTCGATCCGCCGGAGCTGGACGGCCACGGGGCCGCCGGAGCTGGATCCGGCCGCGGGGCCGTCGATCCGCCGGAGCTGGACAGCCACGGGGCCGCCATCTCCCTCCTCCGCACGGGGCGCGGGCGCGAGCTCCGCCGAGGCGCGGGCGCCACCGGGCGGATCCGAGAGAGGGAGGGTCGGGGAAGAAGAAGGGGAGGGAGGGGGGCCGGATCCGGCCGGGAGAGGGAGGGAAGAAGGCAGGCCGCGTCCGCGGCGGCCGCCGCTTGCTCCGAGCGCCGCTGGCGAGGCGCTGCTGCCGCCTGGGGAGAGGAGAGTGAGGGAGCGTGGGGATTTGGGGCTCATCGTTGGAGAAGTCGAGAATGGGTTGCGTCGGAGATTTCACTGTGCGTTACCTAAAGGATCGAATGCGTATCCGATTTGGGTCAGCCCGTTGGAGTCAGTCTAAAGTAATATCATTATAAGAAGAGAGTAAAGGGGCGCAGAGAGCCTAAGAATCAAAATAAACCGAAATCACAATGCCTTACTAAAACTGAGCATAAGCCCTCCTCAACACTAAATTCTCACAGACCTTTGGTATCAACCTGTTCAGTGGTGAACCAGCGATTTTGATTAAGGGGTTCGGACAAATATGATGACATCTTTAAGTGTGATAAAATATACACAAATGCATGTCTCAATAACTTTTAAAATATTTTTATACTATTTATAATCAAAATCACAATATTTGAATAAAAAATGGGTGAATAATTACTTTGTTATGTGTAAATTCAAATATTTGTAGGGGTATTAAACAAAAGGGGGGCTGCTGGCCCCCCTGGTTCCACCACTGAACCCCGTTGCGCCGTTTGAAACTCATTGTTTAAAACTATTCTATTTCTTTCTTTTCAAGCGTTCCACCAAGTGTATATTACTACTCCATTGAAAGTGTGTTTTTGGTCTTTGGGTATGGTCCTCACTGCAGCTTCCCATCATTCAGCTATGTTGTCGAAATTTGATTGCTGAATTTGCTGAGCTACATTGAACTACTCCTAGCCGAAATAAACTTCCACACTTATTGAACGTATGGGCAGTGAAGGACAAGATGAGGTCTTCTGTCCTTTGGTCCATTGCATAGAGCATAATTGACTTGGTGTGGCCACCCCGGCTTTGCTAAATTGTCTGCAGTGAGAATTTTTTCTCAGGTGAGGATCTAGGTCAAGATCTTGCATTTGTTGTCTGCGCGTGCTTTCCAAATCAGGTTTGTCTTGTGCTGACCAAAGGCTCCCACAAATTGAGCACGATATGCCGAACTGGTCGAGGAACAAGCTTCTTCCTTTCACTGGCCAATTTGTGACGTTGGGTGGAGCGGCTCGCGTGAACTCACTTGTCAGCTGTCGGTAGTCAGTCTCGGGTGTGCTACTTTCCACACGGCACTTGTTCCCTGTTCAGCAGGGAACTGACGACGACTTCAAGTCAGGAGTGAACGTACACGACTATGTACCTGAAAACACTGGATCCACACATACATTGTGTCACGGACTCACGGTGGGACATATATATGATAACCGAATCCAGCACAAATAGCATCAGCGAGCTACACTACATGTACGTGCTCACCAAAAACACTAATCTTCACTCACCATACCAGGAGGCGCCAAGAAGAACCATATATACGTATATGATGACAATGCGCTCAATGAGCTTGCTCCTGCTACTAGTGGCCTCCATATCATCCATCTCCACACTCGTCGCCCCAGAAGCGGCCAACGACGAGGCCGCGCTGCTGGCTTTCAACGATCAGTGGCGGTGAGTACGGCAACGCACTCGCTTCATGGAACCAAAGCACCAGCTACTGCAGCTGGGAGGGGGTGAGGTGCCGTGGCAGTGGCAGGCACCAGAGATTGGTGGCGCTTAGACCTATGCTATTGGATATATTGGGCTTGTTCGGCTGACAATAAAAAAACACTATAGCGGCTGAATTTTACTGTTCATGGCTGAATCTGTGAGAGAAAAACACTGTTCCGGATGAAAAAAGAAGCGGATCAAGCCGGGTTTGGGGTCAGCCGAACAAGCCCATTATGGGCTTAACCTGTATAATATTTAATAAATTAAATAAAACTCTATGGTACGTAATATTAAGCGTTGTATTGTTTAATACCGTATGAGATTTTGACTGAACGTGTACTCAACTTATTTGGTTGGAAATTATCCATCTCAATTGAGAAGCTGAGAAAAGGACAAAGGAGTGCCGCGCGCGCGCCGCCGCCGCTGGCCGGGCCGGGCCGTGGGCGTGGCGTGTGCGGCGATTAGGTTTTTGGGGAGCGATTCCGCAACTGCTCGATCAACATCTTCTTCCTCGCGAAACCCGTCTTTTTCTTCCCGGTGATCGCTCGCGGAACCCATCTTCTTCCTAGTGATCCGTTCGTGGGACTGCACTGCGAACACCGTCCTATATCGACTGTGGTCCACGACTTCGAGCAACGCACTATGTCGACTAGTGCGAATGGAGCCTCCGATGCCCTCGGCATGAGACCCTCCGCTGGGTACAATCTTATCTATGTAATTACCGCATTTTACGTTCTTACTGTATCGATCTGTATGTCATGTCTGCATGCTGTAGCGTTCGTTAGTGATATACACATGCACATATATGTCGTCACGAACCTGCTGATGTTATATTTCTGGATTAGATTGACCATGAAAATGCCTAATTATCTAACAATCCAAAAACCTAAACTGGCAATTTTCTGTCAGTGGTTTTGCTGCTGTTTTGAAGCCAAATAATTTTGATGGCAAGAATTTCATGATATGACGTGCCAAGATGGTATTGTGGTTCACTGCGATGAACTGCTATCACGCCGCACATGGAAAGCCTGAACAATTTACTCCTGAGGAGGAGCAAAAGTTCTTGGCTGTCGATAACCTGTTTTGAGGCGCCGTGATTAGTGCACTTCATTCTAAGTATGAGAAAAACTACATATCTT